CACCGTCCGACGCCAACATGAAGCTCGTGCACACCAACTACTGTCAGACGGTCGCCGTCACGATGAAGTCGGTCCAGCGCTCGGTGCTCGCGTTGGTGCCAAGCGACTGCTTTGCAGTGCGCGTTGACGTCATGCTTTGCTCGCTTGCAATCGGCTTTACGTCCAAAGACGCGTTTGATGCGACGCAGCCCATTCACGGGAATGCTGCAGTCATTCCTTTCGGCAAATACGCGAGCCTGATCAATCACTATCCCATCACCAAGACGATGTCGACTGTGTTCAATTTGACTCGCAAAGACGTCGTCATCGTTCGGTACGACCATCAAGTCCAAACGATTTCTTTCAAAGTCGACGGAGAGACCACGGAGAGGGACACCATCGCTGTCGAGACACCACCGAATGTCGACATGTTTCCCTTTGTGTCATTCTACACGTACGCAACGCCATATCACGGTGCAAGCAAGGCGCTTGCCGATGAGTACCTCGGGCAAGTTTCGCTCGTCCCGGTGCCGTCAACGTAGTCGTGTGTCCAAGGATGAGGTCCATTTTTTTGTTAACAAAATTGAATCAAAATTCTACCTCATCGCTCGCGGCTGTCAGGATTCATTCACTTGTACAAATGGCATAAAGGAGTTATAGGAAGTGCCTCGTCGACGTATAAGACCCACTGAGGACCTCAGCACTCGTTGGAACTTCGAATTCATTTTCTATCAATCTATCAAGTTATCTCGCGGGGGTGGGCCTCATGATTCGATCGATCCTAAATGCAGTTTATCGTTTGACGTGTTTGTGTATCCTTGGGCTCCAGTCAATGCAACGTGCGCCGTACTACACGAGTACTCGTATAGGAGGTTGGGACTTTGCATCTTGTAGGGATATCGTGAGTGCATGCATATATATATGGCAATACCGGTGACGCATTGTGCAGAGAGTTCTTTGGTGGTGACTTGCTATGCAAGGAATGCCAAGCACAGCACGTTCTTGCAGCGCACGGCCTTGCCGTGGACGCTAATCGTGATATCAAATGCCATTGATTTAACCAAGCAGCGTAGCATTGCGACGTGCAGCCTGTGCCAACAAACCCTGGTAGCCACCGCTTGGTCTTGCGCGCGAGAAAGGAGATTATTTGATTGGCTAATTTCAAATTAAATCAACCAATCCGGGATGACTTTGAACTGTGCTCACCGCCACCGAGGTCGAGGGATGACCAAATCGACGCGGACAAAGTTTCGCTCAAACTTTGTGCATTGCTAAAGGACACTTTAGAGATTACAAAACGCAAAGTTAGGCTGGCATGGGAGGTGTACAGCGAGAGAAATCCTGGGCAACGTGTGATGGATTTAGGAGATTTTGATTGGCCGAAAATAGTGAAAGATCTCACAAATCATAGATGACCTCTGTAGCACGCTCGCTGGGGCGCCCGATGGCCAAAGCAAGGATGGAACGATGTCGCTCAAACTTGGTGCATCGATAGAGGACACTTTGGAGAGACTAAAACGCTACGTAAGGTTGGCGTTGAAGACGGACAGCGAGAAATATTCACCGTCAAAGTTTGCTGGGTGAGGTGGAACGCCCAGAGACAAGGTGATGCGAGCAACGTGCCGACCTTGGCCGTGAATTCCTACATCAGTGAAGTGGACTTTGTGATAGTGCCTCGGTTGGTCGTGCCAGCTGCGGCACGCCAGATAATACGTGACGGCGTCGACGTGGCACGTGATCATGGCATCAAGAATCGCTCCGAGACAGCACGTTTGGTTCTGGACGTCGTGACTCGTTCATGGTGGCTGGCCACACGTCATGGCCGCCAATGGCCAGAAACTTTGCAATCACGGGATCGCCTTGCCGGACAGCTAACTTAGTGGCGAGACCATTGACGTACCGGTAGTCGATCTTGCCTTGACCAAGTGCTTTGCCGCCTAGAAAAAGCGGCGCGTTGCGAATTTGGCCGTCGTTAGGGACCTTGCGAGAAGCATCGATGCGCATAAGTGCGACGAGTGGCGTCACTTAGGCCTTGTCAGCCGCGTACACCCCCGATGTGGGTGCGGCGGCGTTTTGTAGATCTCGACGAGCCAGTGCACGACGCTATGATGCCAGCGCCATGACATATTCGCGGCAGCCAGGTCGCTCGACATGACCACGGTGCCATCATCTTGAGCGTCACTTTATAAGCAAAGCGCTCAAACAGTGAGCACATTATGGCTCTCTGAGACACAGCCGAAGCGAGCTCGAGGGTTGCGGACGAGACCAGCGCTGGCTTGTGGCGGAGCCACATCGTGATGACGTCGATCTTGCCTGCAATAGTTCAGAGGTGCATGCAAAGCGCCGGATCATACTTGTTTCGACGGTACGAATATCACGTACGTCGAGAGGATATTCTTTAGGTCTTGATACCGGTGGAGGTACGTCCCTGTCGACAACCGCGTCTGGACGTCGACGAGGTATTAATGCAGATATATCCCCGTAGCCAGCAAGCTCGATGGCGTTTGCGATGCGCGTCATATCAGCAAACGCTTCGGGTAGTCCACTCTGGTGCGCAGCGATCGTGGCGACAAGGTCCCGTGATCCAAGAAATACGCTGCTTGCCGACATTGCCGTTGCGTGTCAAACCTGCCTTTCCGAAAGAGTGAGTGTTTTCGTGGGAATGCATGTCAATCGTTTTGGACCATGGGCTCTCGCAACGACGCGGAGGAATTTGCTGCTCATGCGAACTATCGGGAGTGTGCCACGGGCATCTTAGACGACAATTTGGCATTTTGGTCGCAAAGACAGCTCATGACATCACACTCGCCATAGAGAGCGGTTGAGATCCAGCAAGGGAATAAAACCTGTCTTATTATGTTTTATGCCCTTGGGATCCAGTAGCCAATCAAACCCTATGTCGGCCAAACATGTGCAGAAACATGAAGTCACAATCAACAGCACCGTCATTCTTAAGCAGGTTCTTAAGGTGAGTTCATAACCGCATTTCCCAACAC